AGACACGCCGCCAGGAACCGCACCCTGTTTTTTCATGTCGACCGATTAAAGCTCCCCTAGCAACGATCCTCTCCCGAACCAGGTTCAGGATGACTATCAGCCACAGCCGCTGCAGGTAGACGGAGAAGACGAATGGGAGGTAGAGGACATTATAGCAGAAGAGGTACGCCGCCGTAGGAGAGGGCGTAAGCTATACTACGAGGTGAAGTGGAAAGGGTTCCACCGAACGACGCTCGAACCAGCGGAGCTACTAGAGGACGCTGAGGCAGTAGATCGTTGGGAAGCGTTCACAGAGACCAAACGAGACAGCGAGGGCCGCCTCCCGGAAGGGTTTCGGAGAGGCGATGCGGTATCACCCTAAGGAGGGGGGTATTGTAACGGGCTGAACGCCCTTTGGATAGCTCCTCGATGGAATCTCGGCCTACTCGCAGAACCCGGGTGCTGTCTCGAGCACCCGGATTCTCTGCGCACCGCCCGAACGACGTTCAGACGACAGCCGCAGGACCCAGAAGCTGCCTCGTGCACCTAGACTTCACCGGTCCGATTGTTACTCGGGTAACCAGCTTGTATATAGACAGCTACGTAGCTTGGGAGCTTAGCTCCTCATCGAATACAACCTCTTGTATACCTCGCGATTGCTCCCCAGAGCGCAGCCCCTTACATTTAGTAGTAAGAACTACGTTACTCTACAGCTCGGCGTTTTCTTAGGTTAGTTAGTAGACTTAGTTAACTAAGCTAGCTATCTGCCTATAGAGGTCTCTCATAGTTATTACTAGTATTAAATTCTTCTCGTCTTCGTCTTCGTCTTCGTCTCCCTCTTATAGTAATAAAGTCTCTAGAGATTCCTAGGTTAGCAGCTTACTAGCTTTCTTCTCTAAGACAGTTTAGTCCTATAATTGGACTAATTTCTAGAGTAGTTTTTTAGAACTACTAGGTTTTTGTTACAAGTAACAAGAAGGATTCTCTCCTTGACAAATGACGAGATGGCTGAAGGCCTAAGGACGTCCACGTCAGAAGGTAATGATCATCGCGGGGCGAAGATCACGTGACTGGCTTCACGCCAAGACCAAGTATCCCGCGCTAGTATGTGAGGACACCCTCACACGTGACTAGATGTCTTCAGGGACTTCAGAAGATACAGGGATTATTTCGTAAAGACCGTGAAGCTAGGACTAGAAGCAATAAGGATATAAGGATAGATAGATTTTATTATTACTCTCGTTGTGGTTAACTTAAATTGTACTTTCTTACTAGTTACTTAACTTTATAAGATTAATACTTATTAGTCTATTCAATATAGATTAGGAATTGTTAAACCTATTATTATCTATCTTACAAGCACGCCTACTCTACTGCATCGCTAGACAACTACCTCACAGCGCTATTTATATATCCTTACTCGCCCTAACCCGGATTGAGCTTAGAGAAGTATTAGCACCTAACCCTATGTAACACTTTAACCACCTATGGATTCAGTAGACTAGACGGATTAACAGTAGGACGCCCGATTAAGATTCAAAATGGCATATAATCACTTAGGATCTCAAGGCAGCGCTAGTGGACTAGTCTAGAGTCCCAGACTAGTGCTCAACCTAGCACTCGACGACGAGATGCTGACCCTAAGTGACGACGAGATAGACGAGGATGCCTATAACTTACGAGAGTTGCGGAATCTTAGGTACTAAACTATAATTTAGGTAAGGTAGATAGCCAGCCTATAAGAAATAGTTAATTAGCTTACGAGCTAGTTAATGGCCACGCTAAACGAAAAACCTATTAGGAAACCTAAGATAGCAACTCCAGACAAGTATAATAGAAGTCGCACTAAACTGCGAACGTTTCTTACTAATATTGACTTATACTATAGATATAACGACGTACCTAACGATGAGGAAAAGATTCTTATGGCTAACATCTATATAAAAGGAAAAGCAGCTAGTTAGATGTAGCCTTACGTAGAGGATTTCTTAGCTAATGTGCTAAATAAGGGTACTAAGGACGAGACACGTGCCTTATTTAGTAGCTAGGCTAACTTTAAGGAAGAACTAGGACGCATCTTTGGGGAGGTAGACGCTGAAAGTCAGGTAGAGAAGGTAATCTCGCGCCTGAAGTAGACTAAGTTAGTATTAGTATATATAGCTAAGTTTAAGCAATACTAAGCACGAATTAATTAGGACGATTCGGCGCTTCGAACAATATACGAAGTAGGTCTGAAGGAAATGATTAAGAACGAACTTATATACTATAATAAGCTAAAGGATCTATACGCGCTAATTAAGTTAGTAATAAGAATTAATATAAGACTATAGGAACGAAACTAGGCTAGGAAAGGAGATTAACCTCGCTACCCGTTCGCTAACTCTTAACGACAACGTAACTGTAAGGATAAAGACGGCGACACGTATATAACTAGTAAGGTATAAGATAGGCCTAAGAATAAGAATAATACCTAAGAAAAGTTTAATAATAATCTTTCTAAGGAAGAACGCTAGAAGTGTTATAACAACAAAGCATGTCTCTAATATAGGAAGTTAGGACACTTCCGTAGAGACTGCCTAGAAAACGAAGTTAAGTAAGGAGTAGTAAAGATTAGGATGATTCGGATACTAACACTATACCTAACTGAGGAACTAGACGAAACTCTTAGCAATCTAGATCTATACGATGAAGTAAGATAAGCTATAGACAAAGCGTTTAAGCTAGTATAAGAGGTAATAGGACTCTAAAACTTTAAGTAGGACGTACTACTACTAATAGATTAGCAGATTAAAGGGGCCGAAGTGTTACGCCGCCTAAGAAATTAATAGTGCTGAATCTGCGGACTTACTATACACTTAGCTAACGATTACGACTATAAAGAACGAATTATAGTCTTAGGACCCTGAGTAGAGGAAATTATCTACTAGGCAGCCTAGGAACAACCTAGGTTTAAGGAACCTAATAACGAGGGGATATCTTAGTTATTTAAGGAACGAATAGAGCAACACGAGCGCCTATGTTAGGTCGACTATTTAAGATAGTATAATTACCACTTAAGGAAGAGAGAAAAGACTAGAGATAATAAGGACGATTACTGCTATACTAATTTATAGCATAATAAATATTGAGTATAGCATTACTATATACACTAGCTAGGAGAAAAGGAAGCTTATAAGGAGCTATGCTGGATTAAGTGCATAATTAACTGCCAATTCTATAAGGAACAATAATAGAAAGCTAGAAGGGTAGACGACTACTACTACAGCACGATATTCGCTGAGGAATATATAGTAAAGAACTGCAGAATGCATAGGGCCTAAGTATAGAATATACTAGAAGTAAAATATGCTAAACTTCTGTGGACGCATTATAAAACTAGATGCGCTCTATACTAATAATAGTTTAAGGATACTTAAAAGATAGACGATTACTACTATAGTACTCTGCTAGCGAACCTTTATAAGGCAACGGATTGCCTAATTTATGAAAGTAAGAAGCTAGAACTAAGGGAAAGAACTGCGAAGAAGGAGATACTATACTGTAATATTTATTAGAGCTTTTACTATAATAATTAATATACTGATTACTATAACGCTAAAATCGGCGCGGGATAGTTTCCTAAAGAATGGAAGAAGTTGTAGAAAGGACGACTCTCTAAGCTAAAAAACTAGAATACCGCTAGGGATAAGGTCACGCTGGTAAAGGTAGTTCTAAAACGACCCTTAAAGAAGTGCGAGAAGTAGGAGCGTTGTAAGGGGCTGCGCTCTAGGGAGCAATCGCGAGGTATACAAGAGGTTGTATTCGATGAGGAGCTAAGCTCCCAAGCTACGTAGCTGTCTATATACAAGCTGGTTACCCGAGTAACAATCGGACCGGTGAAGTCTAGGTGCACGAGGCAGCTTCTGGGTCCTGCGGCTGTCGTCTGAACGTCGTTCGGGCGGTGCGCAGAGAATCCGGGTGCTCGAGACAGCACCCGGGTTCTGCGAGTAGGCCGAGATTCCATCGAGGAGCTATCCAAAGGGCGTTCAGCCCGTTACAATACCCCCCTCCTTAGGGTGATACCGCATCGCCTCTCCGAAACCCTTCCGGGAGGCGGCCCTCGCTGTCTCGTTTGGTCTCTGTGAACGCTTCCCAACGATCTACTGCCTCAGCGTCCTCTAGTAGCTCCGCTGGTTCGAGCGTCGTTCGGTGGAACCCTTTCCACTTCACCTCGTAGTATAGCTTACGCCCTCTCCTACGGCGGCGTACCTCTTCTGCTAT